ACGCTTGTTGTGTTGTACCACTGGTTGTTGTACCACTGGTTGTATAGTTATTGCCACTGGTCGTTGTACCACTAGTTGTAGTTGTGCCACTGGTCGTTGTACCTACTAGTTGTGATTGTGCCACTTGTTGTTGTTCACTGGAGTTTGTAGTTGTGCCACTGGTTGTTGTACCACTAGTTGTAGTTGTGCCACTAGTTGTAGTTATTGCCACTGGCTGTTATTGGCCTAAAATTTGCACGGTTATCAATTGGGGATATATTTTGTGAATACTCTTCCTCTCTGTCATCATGAATGCCATTCTTGAAGAGGGCATTCGTTTGTTGCCAAACTGTTCCAGCATCATAGTAGATACATTCAATCCTTATGCTGTATGCAGCCATAGCACAGCAATTAATAGCACCTTCTCAAAAGACCGAACAGAAATTTGTTTATCTTCAAGAACACATCGCTTCTTCCCCTATATAAACAATCCGACCATAGAAACAAATAGCCCAAAGGGAAAGATCAGAGAGAATGTACCTGGGAAAAACATCATGTAACCAACAAATGAATCCCATCACTTATACAACCTAAAACTTCTTGTACCTGGGGATGTTGTTCACGCTTGTCGTCGTGCCACTGGTTGTTGTACCACTGGCTGTTGTGCCACTGGTTGTTGTACCACTGGTTGTAGTTGTGCCACTGGTTGTTGTACGCCGCTGGTTGTTTGTACCACTAGTTGTTGTTCCACTAGTTGTTGTACCACTGGTTGTTGTACCACTAGTTGTAGTTGATTGCCACTGATCGTTGTACCACTGGTTGTTGTGCCGCTGGTTGTTGTACCACTGGTTGTAGTTGTGCCGACGGTCGTTGTACCACTAGTTGTAGTTGTGCCACTAGTTGTTGTACCACTAGTTGTAGTTGTTCCGCTGGTTGTTGTACCACTAGTTGTTGTACCACTAGTTGTAGTTGTACCACTGGTCTTTGTACCACTAGTTGTAGTTGTGCCACTGGTTGTTGTACCACTCGTTGTGTTGTACCACTGGTTGTAGTTGTACCACTGGTTTGTTGTACCACTAGTTGTAGTTGTTGCCACTGGTTGTTGTACCACTAGTTGTAGTTGTTCCGCTGGTTTGTTGTACCACTGGCTGTGGTGGTTGTTGTACCACTAGTTGTAGTTATTACCACTGGTCGTTTTGTACCACTAGTTGTAGTTGTGCCACTGGTTGTTGTACCACTGTAGTTGTTTTGTACCACTAGTTGTAGTTGTTCCGCTGGTTGTTGTACCACTAGTTGTAGTTATTGCCACTGGTTGTTGTACCACTAGTTGTAGTTGTTCCGCTGGTTGTTGTACCACTAGTTGTATTTGTTATTGCCACTGGTTGTTGTACCACTGGTTGTTGTACCACTAGTTGTAGTTGTGCCACTGGTTGTTGTACCACTGGTTGTAGTTGTTCCACTGGTTGTTGTACCACTAGTTGTAGTTTTTCCACTAGTTGTTGTTCCTAAAATGCGCAACCTTATTAGTTGATGATTATTATTATTCTCTTGCTGCTGTTCTTTCAAGTAAGGCGAGCTTTCTGACAATCACGGAAAGTGTGGAGTTGGTCTTTTTTGAGCTACCTGCTAAAGCGTATAATGCATGTTTTGCACACTTTATTGTGTATCTATGGGAACCATACTATTTCAATTTGTCCATTCTGACCGGACACTGCAGCAAGTGTAAGCCAACCTCCCGTTCCTCCTTCTCCCCATCACCTCGCTTCCTACTAAATGCAAGCTAATGAAATTGCAAAACATTGGATTTCTTCTTAATAGTTTCATTTTATTTCAACATTACCTGATGTAGTTCCGGTTGCTGAAAGCAAGAATAAATATGCAATAAGCACAATGAATGAGAAAAACAAGACGTCATTTGAACACCGTTCAACCAATGATGCATTGTAAGCTTATATTACCGATAGAGTTTATCTGTGGACACAATATGTAAAATGATAAATCGGTTATTCATTTCATTGAAACTCTATGCAGTTATTGGTGAAAGGAAATAGTTTGATGGATACAGTAGTCACCTTCATTCAAAATACAATTAAAACAGTGACAGATGCCAATATTTTATAACTGTTTTACACTGCACACTGTTTCTTGTTGTATTATTTTAGAATAGACGGAGACTTATCTATATGTGAACAATAAAAGCCTAATACCTTCATTGCATCAACGAATTCTGATAGGCAGCTAAGTGCACAATCTTTCGCACGTCACAAAACCTTGTGTTATATTAGTAGAAGAGAAAACTTACTTTCTTCCTCACAAACACCCACAGTGTCCTCTATGTTGTCGATCACACCGTTGAAGGTAACAACGTAGCCTTTAATCAGCTTCTTAATGGTCACGGAATTCTGAAAAGTTGTGATATATGATCATTTCAAACAAACCAATCATACAATTATTACAATGAAACAATATGAAGCTGTAGCTGTAACTACCTCAGACATAACACTTTGGCTGTCACATTCCTGTGGCGAATACAAAACCAGAAAAAGCTATAAATACAACGATAATCCATAAAGGAGAGACACTTTTCAGAAGTCGGCATGATGTCATCAATTGCTTTCCGACTAACTAATCTCACTAACAACTGTGCACAGCTTTTAAGTATAGCGGATAGGTCGAACGACGGATATTGCTGCTTTCTGCAATAGTTGCAGAAATGTGGTATGCTTCTACGATACTTACTTCAACAAGCTCGGCAAAATATTTCAACGAAGTTGCCTGCTGGAAGTTTCCTTGCACCTTTATCCCAGGGACTACGTCTTCTTTATTGAAGAAAGCACATACGACGGTTTCCTTGCTAAATGCGTTTTCTCCCAATTCTTTTGCAATGGGCGTGATTAGTTTATTTGTGCCCACTGAAAATGAAGATCATAAAATGTATTTTATCTGTGTACCTTAAGGTAATTCATAATGCACAATAGAGTGCAGCGGGTATTTATACCGCGTGTGTACTGATATCGCATCAGCAAATTATAAAGATATGCCATTCCAATATTTCCCCAAACACAAAGGACATTAGTATTTCGAAGGTAGGAGGCTAATGTTTCCCCGTTTTCACTACTTTTTGTTCTTGTTTAGATATAGTAAAAAATAATTGTATTTGGTATGTTGTATTACAGTCTCAGTCTCGTGAAGAAAACATTAAATATGTTTAAATTCTCAGTTAGGAATATATGTAAAATGTTACCTTGAGTGAATGTTAGGCCTTTTGCTTCGTCGAGTGACAGAACCGTCACAAGGACTGTCTGTTTATCTTTGGTGGTATCCTCAAACGTCAACTCTCTACTGACACCAGGATCACTCTTAAAGGCAAGGGTGACAGAGTCGTGTTTTGTGGAGTAAGTGATACAACATAAAACGGAGTAATACAATCAAAAGGAGAACATATATGTGTATGTTTGCTTTTAACGCCCCATTGCGTTATTTTCAGTTTAAAACAACTGTTTTGTGCAATAGCACAGGTATAATGATGACAAGCAAGGAAGAGCATGCTTGCGTTGAGCATCTGGCTGAGTCTGACGGTATATTCACAGTCTATATAGTTTTGTACGTCATTGGGGCTACGGTGTCAATTCGATAGGAGATGTAAGAAAGAGATACAAGAAAGGGTCAATTAATACAAAAATGAACAAGCTTGGCTGCTTGATACTTTTACGTAGGTGTATATTTTTAGCCGTTAAGTTTGATACTTACCGTCGTTGAAATAACTTCAAAGAATTTGGGTACTGTGCCTGGTGGTGCTCTTGTGTAGTACCTATCCACAAAGGCCGGAGGGCTATATATCGCTTCCAGAACCGTCTTGTTTCCGACGACAAACTTCTGCACCTCGAACGGAGCGTTGTCACTCGTGCCATTCATATTAAATTCCTTGCACCTTTCTACTGTGATGACATAGGCAAAATAGTTGCATGTGATATTCTGTCTCAATGGTGTGTTGTTTTTATTTGTTTATTAGAATAGCATGTACATGTCATGAAAGAAAACCTACGAAACTAAAAAGGCAGTCTGTCATTCAAATACACCCAAAACTCAAAGTGGTGATCCTAGCACTGCAGGCTGGTTTGGCTTATCTAGACAAGGTCCTTTCTTGGTCGTATCATGGATTGACTTCTGAGTTCAAAACGCAAGCATAGCGTAGACGTTAATAAAAGGACCGAGCCATACCACCATGTCGCTTCAGATACTGTGTTTGTGCCTACGCTTGTCATCCACTGACTAGGTGTTGGACAGTCTCGTTAAATTCCATGATTACATTATATATTTACATTTTGTCGCAAAATCACACATTGGCGGTAACACGTGGGAAGTGACTGACCACTTTTCTGGACAGCTATTAAAGCTCATCATCAGCTCAGGTATCCTTTTCCCCTCTACACGTATCCAAGAATGGGACTTCTCTGAGATGCGCTGCCTTAGCAAACCCACCCAAAACCTTCCGTGGAATATAGAAACTCCCCAACTCTGCAGCATCCTGCATTACCCAGAGTTTTAGAAGGGCTGTGTTCCCGGTGGAGAACCCGGGCACTCTCCTGATCTGCGCAAAGAGATCAGGAGGTACCAAACCAAGGTCACCGAGAGCAATGGGGAGTTGCACGACAATGTCTGCATATTTCGCATGCTATTCCAGAAAGCTACCAGTCACGTTTCTGCCAAAAAGGACAGAACATTCAATGACATAAATGTAAGTTTTCAATAAAGAAAAGAAAATGCTTGTTAGCAGGATTTTTTCTTAAGTCTGTATTCTAAAAATGTTTTAAACCATTGTTTTCCACGACGCCCAAGGGAGGGTCGTACCATGGGTGGACCTCAGAGTCAAAGTCACAGGTATGGCAAAGGCAGTAATAGAAGCAACGAGCCATGCCATGTCATTTGTGCCAAGGAAGGACATCCACTAACAATGGGTTGAACAGTCTCAGCAACTTCTTTACAAAATCACCATTTCTTGTAAGTAATTTCGTTCAGAATCACATTGTGGCGATTGCGACCGGAACGTGACTGATCGTGGGCAGCAAAATGAATGCCTCTCTTTCACTTTTAAGACCAGCCGACTTCATCCAGGCAAAGAAATTGGTTGGATTGCTGTTCTGTTGCACACACTGCATGTACACATGATGCAGTGGTCTCTCAGAAAGCTTCCCCACAAATGACCCACACTGGTCAGACTTCACCTGGCTAAATTTCGTCCAGCCGTGCATCTCGAGATTCTGTCTAACAACTTTGGCGCACTTAAAATGGCTGTGGAATTCCTTGCCTTCATTCTGATTCTTGACAAGCATCACCAGAGGATCATCCGATAAATAGACATGTACAAAAGTACAAATTAAATTCTATCATCAAGAGCCTCCACATTTATCAAACCACTACCACCCCATTTTATTGCAATACATAAACGATTACCAGAAACCGAAGGTGTTGGGTTCAGGCGGTAAAGACTCTGGATATGTGACATGTCCAATCAACTGCTCCAAAAAGAGTAAGAAAGGACTGGCTCAGCAAATATATTTGTGGCGTTGACCTTATTTTGAGAACGAAGTTCCGAGCTCCAGATGTATGCTTACACCCACCCACACACATCCCCGACCCCCAACCACCCTTTGAGCTTTCAACTTCATCTTAGATCACTAATAAGAAAATTTACTCTTTGTTCCACTTGTGGTTGTTGTAATACCGGATGTAGTAGTAGTACCACTTGTTGTGGTTGTTCCACTAGTTGTTGTGGTGCCACTACTGGTTGTTGTACCGCTGGTAGTAGTTGTTCCACTAGTTGTTGTGGGTGCCACTAGTTGTCGTTCCAGATGTTGTTGTTCCACTAGTTGTTGTTCCAGAGGTAGTTGTTCCACTTGTTGTTGTACCTGTTCACACACAAAAAAATAAAACATGACACACACGTCCCTGAAGAAACCGATAGCTTCAAAGGAATATAAAAATCACCATAAAAGAACTGGAAAGTATGGTCAGTTTTATAATGACTATATTTTCTGTTGTCCCAGATGTTATTGTACTTCATGTATAGTTTTTCACATTCGAGCGTTAACATGGAATACAAATATCTAAACCATATTACTAGCCTACACAAACAGAGTCTGCTAACCTGAAAAAGGAGTAGTGTCTAGAGTACATTATATCGCTGAATGAATGAATATATTTTAGCATGGCCTAGTGTACTGAATTATGTCAGATGTTGCTGTTGTGTGTGTGTGGGTGTGGGTCCACATCAGAAGCAGATTGCTCCCGTGAATACCTTAAATGATTTGAAACGTGTCTTTGTTAATGTTTCACTTATGATCGACAACTTTATGTGAAGGGCGTCTGATACTCACAACTATCTGAATTACATGTGCCCTTCCTGTGTCTGTATTTTCTCAAAATAAGATAAGACTTTAACCAATCGTCGACTGACACTTTTTTGAGTTTCATCATATAACGTAACATACTTTTTAGTCCTGAATAACAAACAAACGAACCATAACGCCAAGTTAGTGTCCAAGTGTACACTCAATGGCATGTCACTTAATGTTTCTGAAGAAATTTGAAATGTAATCCATCTGAGTGACTTCTTTTGAGCACCTCGAATTAATGCCTCTCACAAAAAGGATTCGCTTCAATCAGATTGATGCTTCCACTCGGTCGTAGAAACATAAATTTATCAATTACAGGTATCCTCAAACACTAGGTACATATGTACATCTTACCTGTTGTTTCGTGCTGGCATATGACAATTTCAGTTACACTAGCAGTTGCTGGCACAAGAATGGCTGATACTGGACCATTGACGGGAACCTAAAATTAAAAAACAACTTACAGCTTTCATCAAGACAGTGTATGCATCAACATGAACAATGTAAAGAAAAGTGAAATAAATGAAAACGATAGACACAACGGCCAAGGAATATAAGTGGATATATATCCACTTCCATACATATATATATATATATATATATATATATATACATACAGGCACGTGTGTGTGTCTATGTGTGTGTGTGTGTGTGTGGTTCTCTTTCTCTCTCTCTCTCTCTCTGTGCATGTGTGTGTGTGTCTGTGTCTGTGCGACTTGATCAAATACTTACTTCATAAAGAGAAGAATCACTTGGGTCGACAGTGCCCACAATCTTTTGGAAGACTTCAGGTTTGTCTTTTCCAGCTGGAGTGGTTACTGTCACTGGATTTGTACTTGGTGTAACTGGCACAGTAGTGAGATACACGTTTTTAATGGTGCCTGGGGTACTGCTAGAGGTATCAACTGGTGTCCCATTGACTGTGTAGCCATCAGGTATCTCTTTAGTCACCAAGATAATCTCATCAGTCGAAGATTTGACAGGGAACTCAGTCACCTAAAGAGTTCAAACAAATATTTATTACCTTCACTTGAACATCGTTTCTTCAGTACAATCAAATGGTAAGGAACAAATCTTCATTGTGGTTATATTTTCTTCAGTTGAGTATTTGCATACATACAATTTAAACTGCTCATCACTGTAGGATATTCAATATCATTCATTCCATGAGTTTTTATTCATATCGAAAATGTTTTGCACGTTGATTATTCATTCAGCACAGATTTTCTTTAGACATACCTGAGGGTTGGTGGTTTCCTCAGAGGGCACAGAAGTGAAGATCGTTTCCGATGTGACCTTTACTGAGTCAACAAAGGGTGTCTCATCCAAAGGTATTTCCGACAGAGGGTCGCCGGCTTCATTTCCGACTGCGGATGGTGTTGGTGGTGGTGATGGGTTCTCACTTGTGTTCATCAGATCAAGCTTGTCACATGGAGTCGTTCCTGTAATGATGTCATATAACAAGGGTCATAACTTCTTCTAGTAGTATTGGTTAAAGCAGGTTGTAGGTCTTCATTTTATAAAGAAAAAGCCAAATCTAAGTACATCGAGATATGACAAGTACATATACATAACAACATAACAGCGATATAGCAACAGTGCATATTTGAGCTGAGAATAGAGGTATATTTGTTTTTAGCCATTAACAAAGAGAAACCGAGGCAAAAATGTCGAGATCAATAAGCATTGTAGTACAAGATATTGTAAATTGCACAAAATAAACATTCTATTATTGAGCCAAAACATATACCAGCGATGTGATTTCTTTAACCCGTTGTGGATGTGTTTGTGCCGGATGTGGTTGTACCAGATGTGGTTGTTCCAGATGTGGTTGTTGCAGATCACTAATAAGAAAACTTACCTGTTGTTCCACTTGTGGTTGTTGTTCCGGATGTAGTAGTAGTACCACTTGTTGTGGTTGTTCCACTAGTTGTTGTGGTGCCACTACTGGTTGTTGTACCGCTGGTAGTAGTTGTTCCACTAGTTGTTGTGGTGCCACTAGTTGTCGTTCCAGATGTTGTTGTTCCACTAGTTGTTGTTCCAGAGGTAGTTGTTCCACTCGTTGTTGTACCTGTTTACACACAAAAATAAAACATGACACACACGTGCCCTGAAGAAACCGATAGCTTCAAAGGAATATAAAATCACCATAAAAGAACGGGAAAGTATGGTCAGTTTTATAATGACTATATTTTCTGTTGTCCCAGATGTTATTGTACTTCATGTATAGTTTTTCACATTCGAGCGTTAACATGGAATACAAATATCTAACCATATTACTAGCCTACACAAACAGAGTCTGCTAACCTGAAAAGGAGTAGTGTCTAGAGTACATTATATCGCTGAATGAATGAATATATTTTAGCATGGCCTAGTGTACTGAATTATGTCAGATGTTGCTGTTGATGTGTGTGGGTGTGGGTCCACATCAGAAGCAGATTGCTCCCGTGAATACCTTAAATGATTTGAAACGTGTCTTTGTTAATGTTTCACTTATGATCGACAACTTTATGTGAAGGGCGTCTGATACTCACAACTATCTGAATTACATGTGCCCTTCCTGTGTCTGTATTTTCTCAAAATAAGATAAGACTTTAACCAATCGTCGACTGACACTTTTTTGAGTTTCATCATATAACGTAACATACTTTTTAGTCCTGAATAACAAACAAACGAACCATAACGCCAAGTTAGTGTCCAAGTGTACACTCAATGGCATGTCACTTAATGTTTCTGAAGAAATTTGAAATGTAATCCATCTGAGTGACTTCTTTTGAGCACCTCGAATTAATGCCTCTCACAAAAAGGATTCGCTTCAATCAGATTGATGCTTCCACTCGGTCGTAGAAACATAAATTTATCAATTACAGGTATCCTCAAACACTAGGTACATATGTACATCTTACCTGTTGTTTCGTGCTGGCATATGACAATTTCAGTTACACTAGCAGTTGCTGGCACAAGAATGGCTGATACTGGACCATTGACGGGAACCTAAAAATTAAAAAAAACAACTTACAGCTTTCATCAAGACAGTGTATGCATCAACATGAACAATGTAAAGAAAAGTGAAATAAATGAAAACGATAGACACAACGGCCAAGGAATATAAGTGGATATATATCCACTTCCATACATACATATATATATATATATATATATATACATACAGGCACGTGTGTGTGTCTATGTGTGTGTGTGGGTGTGGTTCTCTTTCTCTCTCTCTCTCTCTCTGTGCATGTGTGTGTGTGTCTGTGTCTGTGCGACTTGATCAAATACTTACTTCATAAAGAGAAGAATCACTTGGGTCGACAGTGCCCACAATCTTTTGGAAGACTTCAGGTTTGTCTTTTCCAGCTGGAGTGGTTACTGTCACTGGATTTGTACTTGGTGTAACTGGCACAGTAGTGAGATACACGTTTTTAATGGTGCCTGGGGTACTGCTAGAGGTATCAACTGGTGTCCCATTGACTGTGTAGCCATCAGGTATCTCTTTAGTCACCAAGATAATCTCATCAGTCGAAGATTTGACAGGGAACTCAGTCACCTAAAGAGTTCAAACAAATATTTATTACCTTCACTTGAACATCGTTTCTTCAGTACAATCAAATGGTAAGGAACAAATCTTCATTGTGGTTATATTTTCTTCAGTTGAGTATTTGCATACATACAATTTAAACTGCTCATCACTGTAGGATATTCAATATCATTCATTCCATGAGTTTTTATTCATATCGAAAATGTTTTGCACGTTGATTATTCATTCAGCACAGATTTTCTTTAGACATACCTGAGGGTTGGTGGTTTCCTCAGAGGGCACAGAAGTGAAGATCGTTTCCGATGTGACCTTTACTGAGTCAACAAAGGGTGTCTCATCCAAAGGTATTTCCGACAGAGGGTCGCCGGCTTCATTTCCGACTGCGGATGGTGTTGGTGGTGGTGATGGGTTCTCACTTGTGTTCATCAGATCAAGCTTGTCACATGGAGTCGTTCCTGTAATGATGTCATATAACAAGGGTCATAACTTCTTCTAGTAGTATTGGTTAAGCAGGTTGTAGGTCTTCATTTTATAAAGAAAAACAGCAAAAACTACTTACTACAGCTCACCGGGATATGACAAGTATGTACATAGAATGTATGTCAACAGAGCACATTCGAATTGAGAATATAATCATATTTGTTTTTAGCAATTAACAAAGGGAAACTGAGGCAAAAGTGCTCACTAAGTATTAAAAAGTATACAAATATTGTAAATTGACATACAATAAATATTTTATTATTGAACCATAACATATACTAGTGACATGATTTCCTTTACCCGTTGTGGATGTGGTTGTACCGGATGTGGTTGTACCAGATGTGGTTGTACCGGATGTGGTAGTGCCGGATGTTGTTGTACCGGATGTGGTTGTTGTTGCACTGGTTGTTGTTGTTCCACTTGTAGTCGTTCCTAATGGAAACAATAGTATTATATAGACCTTAACAGATTCTGTATTTTATCAACAAAGGATAGTAAATTTAACAATCATCGTCATCTGACACTTTCTTGAGTTTCATCAAACAACGTAACAGCCTTCTTAGCCTTGAATAACAAACAAAAGAACCATAACGCCAGGTTAGTGTCCAAGTGTACACTCAAGGCATGTCACTCGATGTTTCTGAAGAAATTTGAAATGTAATCCTTCTGAGTGACTTCTTTTGAGCACCTCGAATTAATGCCTCTCACAAAAAAAGATTTGCTTCAATCAGATTGTTGCTTCCACTCGGTCGTAGAAACATAAATTTATGAATTACAGGTATCCTCAAACACAAGGTACATATGTACATCTTACCTGTTGTTTCGTGCTGGCATATGACAATTTCAGTTACACTAGCAGTTGCTGGCACAAGAATGGCTGATACTGGACCATTGACGGGAACCTAAAATTAAAACAGCAGCTTACAGCTTTCATCTAGACAGTGTATGCATAAACATGGACAATGCAAAGAAAAGTGAAATAAATGAAAACGATAGACACAACGGCCAAGGAATATAAATGGATTTATATCCACTTCCTTACATAGAGAGAGATATATATACACATACAGTCACGTGTGTATATGTGTGTGTGTCTGTGTTTGCCTGTGTCTGTGTCTGTGCGACTTGATCAAATACTTACTTCATAAAGAGAAGAATCACTTGGGTCGACAGTGCCCACAATCTTTTGGAAGACTTCAGGTTTGTCTTTTCCAGCTGGAGTGGTTACTGTCACTGGATTTGTACTTGGTGTAACTGGCACAGTAGTGAGATACACGTTTTTAACGGTGCCTGGGGTACTGCTAGAGGTATCAACTGGTGTCCCATTGACTGTATAGCCATCAGGTATCTCTTTAGTCACCAAGATAATCTCATCAGTCGAAGATTTGACAGGGAACTCAGTCACCTAAAGAGTTCAAACAAATATTTATTACCTTCACTTGAACATCGTTTCTTCAGTACAATCAACTGGTAAGGGAACAAATCTTCATTGTGGTTATACTTTCTTCAGTTGAGTATTTGCATACATACAATTTAAACTGCTCATCACTGTAGGATATTCAATATCATTCATTCCATGAGTTTTTATTCATATCGAAAATGTTTTGCACGTTGATTATTCATTCAGCACAGATTTTCTTTAGACATACCTGAGGGTTGGTGGTTTCCTCAGAGGGCACAGAAGTGAAGATCGTTTCCGATGTGACCTTTACTGAGTCAACAAAGGGTGTCTCATCCAAAGGTATTTCCGACAGAGGGTCGCCGGCTTCATTTCCGACTGCGGATGGTGTTGGTGGTGGTGATGGGTTCTCACTTGTGTTCATCAGATCAAGCTTGTCACATGGAGTCGTTCCTGTAATGATGTCATATAACAAGGGTCATAACTTCTTCTAGTAGTATTGGTTAAGCAGGTTGTAGGTCTTCATTTTATAAAGAAAAACAGCAAAAACTACTTACTACAGCTCACCGGGATATGACAAGTATGTACATAGAATGTATGTCAACAGAGCACATTCGAATTGAGAATATAATCATATTTGTTTTTAGCAATTAACAAAGGGAAACTGAGGCAAAAGTGCTCACTAAGTATTAAAAAGTATACAAATATTGTAAATTGACATACAATAAACATTTTATTATTGAACCATAACATATACTAGTGACATGATTTCCTTTACCCGTTGTGGATGTGGTTGTACCGGATGTGGTTGTACCAGATGTGGTTGTACCGGATGTGGTAGTGCCGGATGTTGTTGTACCGGATGTGGTTGTTGTTGCACTGGTTGTTGTTGTTCCACTTGTAGTCGTTCCTAATGGAAACAATAGTATTATATAGACCTTAACAGATTCTGTATTTTATCAACAAAGGATAGTAAATTTAACAATCATCGTCATCTGACACTTTCTTGAGTTTCATCAAACAACGTAACAGCCTTCTTAGCCTTGAATAACAAACAAAAGAACCATAACGCCAGGTTAGTGTCCAAGTGTACACTCAAGGCATGTCACTCGATGTTTCTGAAGAAATTTGAAATGTAATCCTTCTGAGTGACTTCTTTTGAGCACCTCGAATTAATGCCTCTCACAAAAAAAGATTTGCTTCAATCAGATTGTTGCTTCCACTCGGTCGTAGAAACATAAATTTATGAATTACAGGTATCCTCAAACACAAGGTACATATGTACATCTTACCTGTTGTTTCGTGCTGGCATATGACAATTTCAGTTACACTAGCAGTTGCTGGCACAAGAATGGCTGATACTGGACCATTGACGGGAACCTAAAAATTAAAAACAGCAACTTACAGCTTTCATCTAGACAGTGTATGCATAAACATGGACAATGCAAAGAAAAGTGAAATAAATGAAAACGATAGACACAACGGCCAAGGAATATAAATGGATTTATATCCACTTCCTTACATAGAGAGAGATATATATACACATACAGTCACGTGTGTATATGTGTGTGTGTCTGTGTGTGCCTGTGTCTGTGTCTGTGCGACTTGATCAAATACTTACTTCATAAAGAGAAGAATCACTTGGGTCGACAGTGCCCACAATCTTTTGGAAGACTTCAGGTTTGTCTTTTCCAGCTGGAGTGGTTACTGTCACTGGATTTGTACTTGGTGTAACTGGCACAGTAGTGAGATAAACGTTTTTAATGGTGCCTGGGGTACTGCTAGAGGTATCAACTGGTGTCCCATTGACTGTGTAGCCATCAGGTATCTCTTTAGTCACCAAGATAATCTCATCAGTCGAAGATTTGACAGGGAACTCAGTCACCTAAAGAGTTCAAACAAATATTTATTACCTTCACTTGAACATCGTTTCTTCAGTACAATCAACTGGTAAGGAACAAATCTTCATTGTGGTTATACTTTCTTCAGTTGAGTATTTGCATACATACAATTTAAACTGCTCATCACTGTAGGATATTCAATATCATTCATTCCATGAGTTTTTATTCATATCGAAAATGTTTTGCACGTTGATTATTCATTCAGCACAGATTTTCTTTAGACATACCTGAGGGTTGGTGGTTTCCTCAGAGGGCACAGAAGTGAAGATCGTTTCCGATGTGACCTTTACTGAGTCAACAAAGGGTGTCTCATCCAAAGGTATTTCCGACAGAGGGTCGCCGGCTTCATTTCCGATTGCGGATGGTGTTGGTGGTGGTGATGGGTTCTCACTTGTGTTCATCAGATCAAGCTTGTCACATGGAGTCGTTCCTGTAATGATGTCATATAACAAGGGTCATAACTTCTTCTAGTAGTATTGGTTAAGCAGGTTGTAGGTCTTCATTTTATAAAGAAAAACAGCAAAAACTACTTACTACAGCTCACCGGGATATGACAAGTATGTACATAGAATTTATGTCAACAGAGCACATTCGAATTGAGAATATAATCATATTTGTTTTTAGCAATTAACAAAGGGAAACTGAGGCAAAAGTGCTCACTAAGTATTAAATAGTATACAAATATTGTAAATTGACATACAATAAACATTTTATTATTGAACCATAACATATACTAGTGACATGATTTCTTTTACCCGTTGTGGATGTGGTTGTACCGGATGTGGTTGTACCGGATGTGGTTGTACCGGATGTGGTTGTTCCGGATGTGGTTGTGGCTGTTGTTTCTGAAATAAACATTTATCACGTTATATGTAGACATTCGTAATATGTATTTACAGTACATGAGACATAACAGTTTCACAGTTTCTCATAAAAGAAAAGAAAGAACTTTTTGTCTTCAACATTACTGTCACAGCAGAGAGGAGGTTGGGTTGGGGACTGGTTGTATGTGTATGTTGGTGGTGGCAGGAGGGGTTGGGGAAGGGGAAGCTGAACGGTCGAGATATCAGGAATGTCGAAGAATCAATAGTCAGCTTTAGGAGTAGACGTCAGACTCAAAATGAAACAAACATAACATTTAGGCTCATTGTTTACTTTTTTCTGGTTTTGCAGTTGCAACTAGTAAATATCCAGTTTCTATTCAAAATCCAGTGTCTTCCAACCACAATTATAATTGGTCGGTCCCTTAACTACAAGACAATCCTCCTTAGATACGAACCCCAGCGCAGCCATGCCTGGTGGAAAGCCAGACCAAAAGCTAGATCAAACATACCTGTTTAACGAGCTTCCTTGTAAATGTTCCGTAAAAATATGTCTAAATGCATAGCAGGTTTGTTTGCCATTAGATCTATTGATCTGTGATAGGTTTACGAGTTATTGATATAATAAGCCCTCTTGATACTTTTCATTGTTAAATATGAAAACTAGTGGCAAATATAAGTTTTTACCTGGTGCCTCATAACATCCTTCAGGTTCAATGTTCTTTATATTGACCGTAGTAACTCCTGCTTTCGGCGTTATCTTCACTTGAAGCGTTTTTGATGATACGAGTTCAAGTCCGTCCAGTATACTCAAAACGGCTTTGTCTCCTTGGAACGGGACATCCTGAAACCGAATTATGTGACGTGGATAATTAAACTCCTTTCAGTACTACGATTAAGTTGAAGCACAATCTCAAATATGCTGGTATATTTTCTTAGTATCATAATCCCTATTTATGCTTGCTACCATGCTGAATAAAGCATAATCTGCAATATCCTTTTCCTGTACGCTCAAAGGATAGATTTAGGTAACACATGTTCATGTATGTCTGTGTGTTTGCTTGTCTGTGTAGTAGTTCTGGAAATAGTGGTTGTAGTAGTAGTAGTAGTAGTAGTAGTAGTAGTAGTAGTAGTAGTGGCAGTGGTAGTAGTAGTAGTAGTAGTAGTAGTAGTAGTAGTAGTAGTAGTAGTAGTAGTAGTAGTAGTAGTAGTAGTAGTAGTAGAAGTAGTACCAGAGGAAATGGTAGTAATGAGGTATAGAAGAGGGAGTAGATGATGTTTGAGGATGATGAGAAGTAGTAGTTATAGCAGCAGCAGCAGTAGTGGTAGTACAGGAGTACTAATATACCAACCTTGATTATTTCGGTTGATCCATCATCATTCGACACTTGCAACGCGGCCTTTTCCATGTCATCACCGGTTATTACCAATGAGAAAAGTTCAGCATTTGTCCCTGTTTTTGTGTTGATTATGATGGTCAGCAGAACGTCGCCAGTATCACGAGGACTGATTTGGAATGCAACTCCTGACTGCGGTAAGTCGTTAGCGCTCACGGAAATGTCATCCACGGGCACGTTCTTCTTTTCACAAACTTTGAAAGAAAAACGCGAGACTTTGTAGCTAACTGGCATATTTCTGGAATAACACTAAATAATAAACAAGAAAAACAAAAAGGTAGACATATTACTGTTCAACAAATATTCACACCGCAAGATATTATATTAGTCACTAGTCGACATGGCAGTATCAAGGGTGAGTAAATTTCAACATCCGAGTTTTAGCAAGTTTGGTCATAGTATCAAGATACACAGACAAACAGCGAGAGAGAAGTATCAACGCCCTTACATATGTGCCTTTTATTTCATGTTTCAATGCCCATGCAAACTTTATAAACATTATTATTTACAGTTCCGTTTTTTATGGCGTTAATATTTAAGAAGATCCAGATCTTCAGCACAAGTCTCTGACTCACCCGCTGTTGTAGATGATGTAGTTCCTGGAAGGTAATTCGAGACAGTTAAAGGATGACACTAAACCGCCACAATACATGACGCCTACACATGGGATATGGACAAATTTCATTTGTCAACTTACAAGGGCTTCATATATCATCAATTCATCTATTCACTTCGGAATCATCACATGTGATTGTGGGGCGGTGGGGTAGCCTAGTGGTTAAAGCGTTGGCTCGTCACGTCGAAGACCCGGGTTCGAATCCCCACATGGGTACAATGTGTGAAGCCCATTTCTGGTGTTCCCCGCCGTGATGTTGCTGGAATATTTATTTTTTTTTTTTAAATTTTATTGTTTTTATAGATGTTTTACAGTTGCTGGAATATTGCTAAAAGCGGCGTAAAACCCAACTCAGTCAGTCATTCTTGGGCTCAGTCATATGTGATTGACAGTGCGAGACCTCCCTGAGAACCAATGATTGTTTTCATTTCCGACGATATTCTACCCGATATAGAAATACAGGTTATCCAAAACTTAGAATTTTTGTTGTGATATGGCCTTTGAATTAGGATAAATGCTGAATTACCTGAAGTGGTCGTCGTTTCCACTGCAAAATAAGAAGCTTACAAGTAATAAATTTCAACAAGAACATTTCGAACCTTAAAGAATTGAACATCAAACCATTACGCATCAATATATATCAATAGCCCTGAGTATATCTACCTTTTTAATGACATTCTATTTGTATTTTTTTATACCTCGCATGAGTGTCAAAAATAAGTTTGTATTCAAATAACTGACTAGCAAATGACAACATATCTTTTAAGAGTTGGTAAAAAATCATAGGAAATTATCAGAACATTATGTTAATCTTTTTAAAGTTTGGAAAACATATTCCACTCACTTCAAATGAGGAGGGGAAAGGGGACGCAAATTTGAATCATTTAGTTTTTACTCATCCGGTTTGGCATATACTCTTCTCTTCGCTGGAAAATGATTAACTGATATTTTCCAAAAAAAAGTGAGGGAATATGATGTAACAAATTAAAGCTACAATGGAGTAAAGTCATTTCCTAGGTGGACGAGTTTTTGTGTTAATCAACTGGCTACGGCTTCATTATTGTAAATACCTGTATAATGTGGCCTCGTTGTGGCTTTGGTAGTCGTTGTTGTGGCTTCCGTTGTTCCGAAAAGACCTGTACCCTCTGTTGAAACAAATGTTAAAGACAAGGTTCTTACAAGAAGAGAGCCCTGGACATGAACTTCTACGTTCAAACAATATCCAACCAGACTGTAGTCCGTGTACATAGCTGACCTAGGGACAAATCTGCTAGTTTGTGATTTGGGCTGTATAGTTTATTCAATCAAATAAAAATCAGACGTTTTTATAATGGGGATATTGGACTGATGCATAATATGTTATGTTTGTTAAACGTTCGTGTTGCTTGCATTTGGACGATCCTGTGTAGACAGAGGATAGCACTTGTCAAACCCCAACTATATGGCTATCCGACATCAGATCGTTTTTAAATACAATTGAGCACTATATGTTTTCTGAGCAGGGCCCCGTTTCACAAAGTTTTCGTAGCGCTACGACTATCGCAAGTCAATGTTACAGCATAGAGAGGAACGAATGCTACGAGACAAGTTACGAGATCTTAGGCTTACGAGAGCTTTGTGAAACGGGGCCAAGGAAAACATTCCTGAAGTTATTTAAAATATCCTTTCAACACTGGATGTAGTATCTTACCCGTAGTAGTAGTTGACGTTGATGTTGACGTTGTTCCTGGAATAGTATAAGACATTATGCAATACAATGTAAATTTAAACGTTCTAATTGGTTTGTATGTCAACAATGCGTACAGTTATTTATGCAGGACATTTCTCTCAATAAAACGGTCATTTCACCCGCAATATATGATGTATTTTGTAGCACCTCTTAGTTTCCATGTATGGTGTTTAAATGTATTGTTAATACTTGCGGCACAGTACCTGTCGTGGTGCCTGTAATAGAAATAAACAATGAATTAGTATTCAAGAAAGGAAAATGTCCACAACCACTGTCATCCTCATCAACATCATAAGAAACATGTATATGATGATTATGAGCAGGTTAACACATAACTGTCACATACTCCTTTATTTTTATCATTATCATTTTCTTATTAACTTATGTAGTCATCAATACACTATTTTCTAAACTATAGTTTTGTGATACAAATGCAGATAATTGTAATACCGCTGGTTGTAGCACTGGTTGTAGTTCCTGAAGTTGTTCCACTGGTTGTTGCTGACGTTGTAGCACTGGTCGTTGTTCCCGACGTTGTTGCGCTGGTTGTTCCTGAGGTCGTTGTTGCTGAGGAGGTGTTGTTCATTATTTGAAAATTTGACAGTCTCACTTAATTACATTTCTAACACATCATCAATCTTACGTTTGTTTTCATTCTACGAGGCGTTTGTATATTATGTCGGGTTAAGCAAAACATGCGGGATATCAGTCGTAAGGCAAAACATGTCATTACCGTATTTTGTTGTTGTACCACTAGTGGTTGTTCCTGACGTTGTCGTACCACTGGTTGTTGTTCCAGACGTCGTTGTTGTACCACTGGTTGTTGTTCCAGATGTCGTTGTTGTACCACTGGTTGTTGTTCCAGATGTCGTTGTTGTACCACTGGTTGTTGTTCCAGATGTCGTTGTTGTACCACTGGTTGTTGTTTCAGATGTCGTTGTTGTACCACTGGTTGTTGTTCCAGACATCGTTGTTGTACCACTGGTTGTTGTTCCAGAGGTTGTGGTTGTACCACTGGTTGTTGTTCCAGATGTTGTTGTACCACTGGTTGTTGTTCCAGACGTTGTGGTTGTACCACTGGTCGTTGTTCCAGACGTCGTCGTTGTGCCACTGGTCGTTGTTCCAGACGTTGTTGTTGTACCACTGGTTGTTGTTCCAGACGTCGTTGTTGTACCACTGGTTGTTGTTCCAGACGTTGTGGTTGTACCACTGGTCGTTGTTCCAGACGTCGTCGTTGTGCCACTGGTCGTTGTTCCAGACGTTGTTGTTGTACCACTGGTTGTTGTTCCAGACGTTGTGGTTGTACCACTGGTTGTTGTTCCAGATGTTGTTGTACCACTGGTTGTTGTTCCAGACGTCGTCGTTGTGCCACTTGTCGTTGTTCCAGACGTTGTTGTTGTACCACTGGTTGTTGTTCCGGACGTTGTTGTTGTACCACTGGTTGTTGTTCCAGATGTTGTTATACCACTGGTCGTTGTTCCAGACGTGGTTGTTGTACCACTAGTCGTTGTTCCAGATGTTGTGGTTGTTCCGGATGTTGTTGTCCCACTGGTTGTTGTTCCGGACGTTGTTGTTGTACCACTGGTTGTTGTTCCGGACGTTGTTGTTGTACCACTAGTCGTTGTTCCAGACGTCTTTGTTGTACCACTAGTCGTTGTTCCAGATGTTGTGGTTGTTCCGGATGTTGTTGTCCCACTGGTTGTTGTTCCAGACGTTGTTGTTGTACCACTAGTCGTTGTTCCAGACGTCTTTGTTGTACCACTAGTCGTTGTTCCAGATGTTGTGGTTGTTCCGGATGTTGTTGTCCCACTGGTCGTTGTTCCAGATGTTGTTGTTGTACCACTGGTCGTTGTTCCAGATGTTGTGGTTGCACCACTGGTTGTTGTTCCGGACGTTGTTGTTGTACCACTGGTTGTTGTTCCAGATGTTGTTGTACCACTGGTTGTTGTTCCAGACGTCGTCGTTGTGCCACTCGTCCTTGTTCCAGACGTTGTTGTTGTACCACTGGTTGTTGTTCCAGACGTTGTTGTTGTACCACTGGTTGTTGTTCCGGACGTTGTTGTTGTACCACTAGTCGTTGTTCCAGACGTCGTTGTTGTACCACTGGTCGTTGTTCCAGATGTTGTTGTTGTTCCAGATGTTGTTGTCCCACTGGTTGTTGTTCCAGACGTTGTTGTTGTACCACTAGTCGTTGTTCCCGACGTTGTTGTTGTACCACCAGTCGTTGTTCCAGACGTTGTTGTCCCACTGGTCGTTGTTCCAGATGGTGTTGTTGTACCACTGGTCGTTGTTCCAGATGTTGTGGTTGTACCACTGGTTGTTGTTCCAGATGTTGTGGTTGTACCACTGGTCGTTGTTCCAGATGTTGTTGTACCACTAGTCGTTGTTCCAGACGTTGTTGTCGTACCACTGGTCGTTGTTCCAGACGTCGTTGTTGTACCACTGGTCGTTGTTCCAGATGTTGTTGTACCACTAGTCGTTGTTCCAGACGTTGTTGTCGTACCACTGGTCGTTGTTCCAGACGTCGTTGTTGTACCACTGGTCGTTGTTCCAGACGTTGTTGTTGTACCACTAGTCGTTGTTCCAGACGTGGTTGTTGTACCACTGGTCGTTGTTCCAGACGTTGTTGTTGTTCCACTTGTCGTTGTTCCAGACGTCGTTGTTGTACCACTGGTCGTTGTTCCAGACGTTGTGGTTGTTCCAGATGTTGTTGTACCACTGGTTGTTGTTCCAGACGTTGTTGTTGTACCACTGGTCGTTGTTCCTGACGTTGTTATCGTACCACTGGTCGCCGTTGTACCACTGGTTGTTGTTCCAGACGCCGTTGTTGTACCACTGGTTGTTGTTCCAGACGTCGTTGTTGTACCACTGGTCGTTGTTCCAGATGTTGTTGTACCACTGGTCGTTGTTCCAGACGTGGTTGTTGTACCACTGGTCGTTGTTCCAGACGTTGTGGTTGTTCCAGATGTTGTTGTACCACTGGTTGTTATTCCAGACGTTGTTGTTGTACCACTGGTCGTTGTTCCTGACGTTGTTGTCGTACCACTGGTCGTCGTTGTACCACTGGTTGTTGATCCAGACGTCGTTGTTGTGCCAATGGTTGTTGTTCCAGACGTCGTTGTTGTACCACTGGTCGTTGTTCCAGATGTTGTTGTACCACTGGTCGTTGTTCCAGACGTCGTCGTTGTACCACTGGTTGTTGTTCCAGACGTTGTTGTTGTACCACTTGTCGTTGTTCCAGACGTCGTTGTTGTACCACTAGTCGTTGTTCCGGACGTTGTGGTTGTTCCAGATGTTGTTGTGCCACTGGTTGTTGTTCCAGACGTTGTTGTTGTACCACTGGTCGTTGTTCCTGACGTTGTTGTCGTACCACTGGTCGCCGTTGTACCACTGGTTGTTGTTCCAGACGCCGTTGTTGTACCACTGGTTGTTGTTCCAGACGCCGTTGTTGTACCACTGGTTGTTGTTCCAGACGTCGTTGTTGTACCACTGGTTGTTGTTCCAGACGTTGTTGTTGTACCACTGGTCGTTGTTCCTGACGTTGTTGTCGTACCACTGGTCGTCGTTGTACCACTGGTTGTTGTTCCAGACGTCGTTGTTGTACCACTGGTTGTTGTTCCAGACGTCGTTGTTGTTCCGGACGTTGTTGTCTCACCGCTGGTTGTTATTTCTGATATTTGTTTAAATGATGCATTATTTGGCGCTCAACTTTCAACTTTCAACTTAACCTTGTTGGACACAAGTCCAACTTTGATAACATGTAATGCCGTAACCCATTTCACTTGCCTGGTTTAGGTATTTTGACAAAGATTAGTGCCATTTTTCGTGGCACATGTAACCCTATTACAAACTGCAATCTGTGTTTAGAGCGTATGGATAAAAATGTGGGTACTAATAATTGGTGATGGAGATCTTATCTCTGTACTGTTTGCAACATGATACTGATGAAGGATACAGGAAATAGAATGTTTACCTGTTGTTTCCTCGCCGCAATAACTGATGGAACCAGAGCTTGTTATGGCAGTCTGTAAAGCACTTTCATCTGCTTTAGGCTTAAAAAGTGCCAATATACTTTGGGTCGCTTGGTTGATTGTAATCGGTTTTGAAGCCTGTAATACAAAGAGACAAGGGGCTGAGACATGTGAATATCTTGATTTAAATAATATAAGTACTTTGTACAAAATAGGAATATATGCAAAAGGGTTGACATGTTCACTAATTATTGACGTTTCTGGTCATGGGTAAATATGATTCATATTGTTCCTGGCGATATTTTGCTTTGATAATAACGGAGACAGCATCACATACGTGATAGGCATTCAAGAAAGATAGATGGTCACTTATAGATAGATAAGATAGGGTGTGATTACGGATTACGGAAAATACTGTGATTTGGTTTGTTGTCTGATCAAAGTGGCATAAAACTCATAAAGTCAACTCTCAGTATAGTTCCCTTGGGTTATGTAGATATGTCACTCAATGATCAATACACATAGTTAAGGCAACCCTGAACAAGTATTTCGCCTTTACTCACATCGAAATCACCAAGTGATTTTACAATCTCCAGACTGATAGAATCTTCGGGATCCTTAATTGTCAGCTGTTTGGATGGATCAGCATTCTTCACAGTAACCAAAGTAATCGTGGGTGTGCTGATTTCAACAGTAAACGCAACAGTTGAACCACCAACTGCAACAGATGAATATCCCAATATCGTTAATCCTCTCTGGAGGATTTATATCAATGTTACAATATAATACATCCGTTGCTATTCTTATGTTTCTTAATGTATTGTGTATATTTGCATTCACTCTTGTGATGTAAATATATACATTTTGGTCCTAACCATAATGAACCATACATGAAATTATGTCCAGTCATATTTTATTGCTTCGGTAGATAGTTCCTTTAAAGTCTTTAGAAAAACCCATGCTACACAGACTTACATAACAAATAATGATGCTAGAAGCTAAATAGAAATAATTAATTTTCAATCAATACACCTTTTATCCAACTTCATCGGATCGAGGCATCGCCACAATTTTATGAAACACCAAGGGGATGTGATATATGATACATCTTCATATATTTGTATGTCGGTGGAACCTTATTATTAATCATATTTCCATGCATTGATCTAAATTCATTATTACATATTATTTCCCACACCGAACTACATCATGTGCATATTACGGCCATGGATCTTTACCTGTCTCGGTTATTTCAAATGTGCCTTGCGTATTCCCACGAACCAACAGAGAAAATTCATCCTTCATTTCCTCTGTCACATCCAGTGTAGAGGTTTGGGATGGGTTCTGAAAAGAGAAGGGTTGTACTAGTATACACGTTGAAACCCCTGTGTGATCTGCAGTAACGATCATATTTTTAAACCGTATTCCATGGTTTAAGTCATCTTGATTTGTTGATGTGATCGGCTTGCACTGTTTCCTGACAACCTGTTAGCGGCGAATAGCTGTCAATATTTACTACATGGTTTAATAGCTTTGGGATTACCATCGATGGGATTAAAGAGGGTCTGTCTAATTTCAACGATTAGGTTGGAGTCCAGTTTTCCAGCTTCCGCCTCGGATTCATTCATTATGGAGAAGTTGGACCACGGGGAGCAGATGGATTATTGTAGTTATTTTACTAAGACAGGATGTGACCAGTCACAATGCCAGTATCAGAGGTTGTTTGACACCTTCAACAATGCATCATATATTGTAATTGTTCAGCATTTGTGTGGCCGACATAGCAGATATAGTACAGACAATAAGGTAAAAAACATAAGATAGACAAACGCTGCCGACAAGTCCACATATCAGCAAAACAGTTATCACCTTGTATTCAAAGTTGATTACAACGACCGTGACATTTTACAAAATAGTATTCATAATTTTGTTGAACACGGTGTGAGTAGTATTACATTCGGCATGGCGCGACAGACTAACCTTTTCATGGGTCCCTAAACATTTTGTCCACGAGTATAAACTAAACACAAGTTGCACTAAAACAATGGCGATCGATGATTGATCAATGCGACTTAACAGTTGCTGAGGTTTGTACGTACAGTTTTCTCTTGAAGTGTCGAAAACACCTTGGCAGTTCCAGTGAAATCGAGATTCACATCGCCAACTAATTCGTTGGGCCTGGGGCTAATGAGGACCAATGTTGCAGCAGAATCTCCTTGTACATCTACTACGGTGAGACTTTCATGTTTGCAGGTCCCTGGAAATACGACGATCATATCAATATTTAGCAGCAATTATTTTGTTTTTATGGCGTGGCGTTTTTTTAAATGTATTATTAAGCTGTTTTGGGGAAATGTATTATTAAATAGTGCACCATCAGAACCACCAATACCTGTACACACATGTGATAGAATAAGATGATGGTCAGTTGCACAGTTACAGGCAGCTCGGATAGATTGAATCAGAATATATATGTGTAGTTAAGCGATTGCTACAATGAAACACATTCCAAACTTACAGTGGATAGAGGCATGAGCATTCAGAGTAAGAGTGAGTGAGTGAGTGAGTTATCGTCACATCGGCAATATTTTGGCCATATCGTGACGGGACAACTAATTATTGTATTACAGAACAATAAAATGAGAAAGTAAAAGCCTGTTGACGAAGAACAGTAAAACTACCAGTGTATCGCAGATATCAAAGTAAAACTAGCACGTTGTCAGTAAGTGAAGTAAAGTAAACATGGTATTGTACCTGTGGTTGCCGAAGTAGTGGTGGACACGGTGGTAGAGCCTGAAAAATATACATATTGCAATGAACGACAAGCTTGTCAGCAACCATTGTTATCGATACGGACATGAAGAATTATCAACAGTACCCTGGTCACACATGAAAAGTGCAAGATTGACTTTGTTGGTGCTGACTGTGTCAACCGACATTTCTATATACATCTGTTTCATATTTTTATGGTGCTGTTCACACACTTAGGACATAGGAAGCCGAATCAGTCTCGTGTTTTGAGACACGTCTGTTCTGCCATTTGTTCAACGTAGCCCGGTTGAGCTTGCACAACGTAATCTTGGTAACAAATGTCGTATAATGGAGGCTATCTACATTGTTACTTCGATGAGAATGATGATTGTTTCCAAACAGCGCGTAGTTTTCAACATCCCAGTGCATATTTCTAAAAAAAAATTAATGCGAGTTGTAAAACTTGATACACTCAAAACAATATATGTCTTACTAAACGATGGAGAAAGAGGCGTGGAGCCGCTTATTGGTGGAAGCATAGCTTCTGAGTTACTGGCGGACGGTTGAAAGGTTTTTCTGTTGCTGGTTGATGGTACAGATGTTGCTGCGCCGCTGGTTGATGGTACAGATGTTGCTGCGCCGCTGGTTGATGGTACAAATGTTGCTGCGCCGCTGGTTGATGGTACAAATGTTGCTGCGCCGCTGGTTGATGGTACAGATGTTGCTGCGCTGCTGGTTGATGGTACAGATGTTGCTGCGCTGCTGGTTGATGGTACAAATGTTGCTGCGCCGCTGGTTGATGGTACAAATGTTGCTGCGCCGCTGGTTGATACAGATGTTGCTGCGCTGCTGGTTGATGGTACAGATGTTGATGGCAAATGCGCTGCGCTGCTGGTTGATGGTACAGATGTTGCTGCGCCGCTGGTTGATGGTACAAATGTTGCTGCGCCGCTGGTTGATGGCACAGATGTTGCTGCGCTGCTGGTTGATGGTACTGGAAGTGCTGTTTATATGCGATGGTTTATTCACGATGACCAGCCAGAAACTAATTCGGAATCTCAAGTCGATAAGAACAGTAATTACCATGCTGTTACTCCCGCTATCCTTAGAAGTTTCCAGATAGTCAATCGATTAGTAGTAGTAGCAGCAGCAGTAGTAGTAGTAGTGGCAGTTGTTGTAGGGGTAATAGTATAAATAATAGTAGTAGTAGTAGTAGCAGCAGCAGTACGTAGTAGTAGTAGTTGTAGTTGTTGTTGTTGTTGTTGTTGCAAATACAAATGATACATTATTGATCTAACCCAGCTTAATTGAAATAGATTAATTCATTGCGCAGAGTTGCACCTCTTGTATATATTTCATTTAATATGTTGATACAATGATAAAATGTGGTCATATATTTGTAGAAATGATAGCAATATTTATTGTCGTGTCAAAAGAAACGCACGTCCACGAGACGGGTGTTCCGTCCAGTCCCTTTAGACACCATCGTGTGTTGTCTATGCCACCTAAACACAGGCTGCATGTCTACGGAGTCTCAGGCTGCAAGTGTCTGTGGCGTATGTTGACGTTGACGCACATGTCTATTCCGCAGATGTTTATCCCGCAAATGAGAATCGACTTCAACCGGAAGGAAGTCAACACTGACACGAGCTGTGTGTGGTGTAATGCTGTCATGATGCAACAACTCCCACTGTCAGTTGATAATCAGAAGAAGCTGACGTTGAAAATTTGACCAGCATACCGATTTGCTGATTTACTAAAACCTCCATCAAGTCAGATATCCGTGAGTAGGCTATGGCTACCCACGTCATCACATTTCCGTCACCGAATCTGACAACCTGTCGAACGCTGTTCGATTGCAAACGTTCATGTCGACGTTGGTAGAAACGCAGTTTTCCCTCTCGGCATTGGAGAACAAATCGTGCGTCTTCTCGAGGTCAACTTCTCAAATTCCATGCTTGTACGGTGTTGCTCCATCACACATGTTGTGGTCGGTGCAAACGCCTCACACACGGACACCTACTTTTCGCGTGGGTTTATTTCCAATCTCTCGTAGACAACTACTGATTGTTTGGTCCGATATCCTCTTCAGTACAGACGTTTGTTCAGGTAGCTGCTGCATGTCAATGACTAGGACGTAGCTATTATGTGCTGGGGTGGTGATTCTTGTTTGACCTCGTTTCGGACGACATCTGGTTGAATAGAGGCGGGTATACCAATCTAATAGCCGTGATACGCTCTAGTGGACATCGAAATGACGTGCAACTGCAGTCTTGGACTATCTGGTTTCGAGATGCTGAGGTTGGAAATATTCAGTGTGGTGTTGGCATTGTTCCACTTCCAATAAGGGACCATTCATAATATATGGCAACTGGGGTGATGATGAATTTTGTGAGAAGTGTGAACAATGTGAATGACCCCCCGTAAAATTGGTGTACATAGTAAGACCCTGCGTGTCATGTACACAATGAATGATCCCATGAGCCCCCTCCCCTTCCCTTCCCATACTTTTAAGCATATTTTAAAACATTTTCATGTACTAAATTGCTGAAACCCCCCCTACATGTGTTCAAAATTGATGATCCCCTACCCAGAACAAAATGGGTGACACCCCCCCATAAAATCATCATCAAACACCCCCACCACCCCCACACCCCGCCATAAATTATGAGCGGTCCCTTTATTGATATTGTCACCACACATGGTTGTCACAACTTGCAAGTGCATTCTGTTTCTATTTTCCATTCCAGGAGCGTTTGGTTGTGTTTTGTTACGTTTGTGCTCCATGCCCGTTTACGAACGCGTGACTAACAACGTGCAATATAAATATATTCAATTTGTACTGAATGTCTCATGAATATAAAAATCAACACCTACTTGTTGTTGTACCACTTGATGTTGTTCCACTTGTTGTTGTTCCACTTGTTGTTGTACCACTTGTTGTTGTACCACTTGTTGTTGTACCACTGGTTGTTGTACCACTGGTTGTTGTACCACTGGTTGTTGCAGTGGCTGAAAAGTCAAACGAGATATTCGGTGAAATCATTGTAATAGTGTTTGTACTATAATGTACATCAGTTGTAATATAGTATGTTTCATATTTCCTTGTATTTCAACATAATATTTCATATTTAACATCGATGGCGAGCAGTGTATTTTGTCATGGAAAGCTAATTGCATTCAGCCACATGCCTACCCGCACAAAAACAGTTGATCAACATCACACCTGATTGAATGCTCTATAAAACGTTTACATTCCCTCCGTTTGAAATGGTCTAGGATGAAGTAATAAAGAAGGGATTGACATCCAGTGATCAAGGGAAAACAAAGCGCCTTTGAGCAGCTGAGCTGGATATCGGCGCAATTCAAATGTAAGCATAATAATAATAATGGCAACAAAACACCTTAAGGAGAAATTGTTCTTTCTTAAACTTACGTGTATATCTCAACTATGCTTCAGGGTTGCTATCATTAAAAACTACACATTGACTACTTATGAGATATTTGGTACCACTGGTTGTTGTTCCAGACGATGTTCTGGTACCACTAGTTGTTGTTGATCCCGATGTGGTTGTTCCACTGGTTGTTGTTCCAGATGTTGTAGTACCACTGGTTGTTGTTCCTGATGTTGTAGTACCACTGGTTGTTGTTGTTCCAGATGTTGTAGTACCACTGGTTGTTGTAGTTCCAGATGTTGTAGTACCACCGGTTGGTGTTGTTCCAGACGTGGTAGTACCACTGGTTGTTGTAGTTCCAGATGTTGTAGTACCACTGGTTGTTGTTGTTCCAGCTGTTGTAGTACCACTGGTTGTTGTTCCAGATGTTGTAGTACCACTGGTTGTTGTTCCAGATGTTGTAGTACCACTGGTTGTAGTTCCGGATGTTGTAGTACCACTGGTTGTTGTTGTTCCAGATGTTGTAGTACCACTGGTTGTTGTAGTTCCAGCCGTGGTAGTACCACTGGTTGTAGTTCCAGATGTTGTAGTACCACTGGTTGTTGTAGTTCCAGATGTTGTAGTACCACTGGTTGTTGTTGTTCCAGACGTGGTAGTACCACTGGTTGTTGTTCCAGATGTTGTAATACCACTGGTTGTTGTTGTTCCAGACGTGGTAGTACCACTGGTTGTTGTTCCAGATGTTGTAGTACCACTGGTTGTTGTAGTTCAGATGTTGTAGTACCACTGGTTGTTGTAGTTCCAGATGTTGTAGTACCACTGGTTGTTGTTGTTCCAGCTGTTGTAGTACCACTGGTTGTTGTTCCAGATGTTGTAGTACCACTGGTTGTTGTTGTTCCAGACGTGGTAGTACCACTGGTTGTAGTTCCAGATGTTGTAGTACCACTGGTTGTTGTAGTTCCAGATGTTGTAGTACCACTGGTTGTTGTTGTTCCAGACTTGGTAGTACCACTGGTTGTTGTAGTTCCAGACGTTGTAGTACCACTGGTTGTTGTAGTTCCAGATGTTGTAGTACCACTGGTTGTTGTAGTTCCGGACGTGGTAGTACCACTGGTTGTTGTAGCTCCAGATGTTGTAGTACCACTGGTTGTTGTAGTTCCAGATGTTGTAGTACCACTGGTTGTTGTTCCAGATGTTGTAGTACCACTGGTTGTTGTTCCAGATGTTGTAGTACCACTGGTTGTTGTAGTTCCAGATGTTGTAGTACCACTGGTTGTTGTCCCAGATGTTGTAGTACCACTGGTTGTTGTAGTTCCAGATGTTGTAGTACCACTGGTTGTTGTTGTTCCAGCTGTTGTAGTACCACTGGTTGTTGTTCCAGATGTTGTAGTACCACTGGTTGTTGTTCCAGACGTTGTGGTACCACTGGTTGTTGTAGTTCCAGATCTTGTAGTACCACTGGTTGTTGTTGTTCCAGACTTGGTAGTACCACTGGTTGTAGTTCCAGATGTTGTAGTACCACTGGTTGTTGTAGTTCCAGATGTTGTAGTACCACTGGTTGTTGTTGTTCCAGACTTGGTAGTACCACTGGTTGTTGTAGTTCCAGACCTTGTGGTACCACTGGTTGTTGTAGTTCCAGATGTTGTAGTACCACTGGTTGTTGTAGTTCCGGACGTGGTAGTACCACTGGTTGTTGTAGCTCCAGATGTTGTAGTACCACTGGTTGTTGTAGTTCCAGATGTTGTAGTACCACTGGTTGTTGTTCCAGATGTTGTAGTACCACTGGTTGTTGTTCCAGATGTTGTAGTACCACTGGTTGTTGTAGTTCCAGATGTTGTAGTACCACTGGTTGTTGTCCCAGATGTTGTAGTACCACTGGTTGTTGTAGTTCCAGATGTTGTAGTACCACTGGTTGTTGTAGTTCCAGATGTTGGAGTACCACTGGTTGTTGTTGTTCCAGATGTTGTAGTACCACTGGTTGTTGTAGTTCCAGACGTGGTAGTACCACTGGCTGTTGTAGTTCCAGATGTTGTAGTACCACTGGTTGTTGTTCCAGATGTTGTAGTACCACTGGTTGTTGTTGTTCCAGATGTTGTAGTACCACTGGTTGTTGTAGTTCCGGACGTGGTAGTACCACTGGTTGTTGTAGTTCCAGATGTTGTAGTACCACTGGTTGTTGTTTCGGATGGTGTAGTACCACTGGTTGTTGTTCCAGATGTTGTAGTACCACTGGTTGTTGTTGTTCCAGATGTTGTAGTACCACTGGTTGTTGTTTCGGATGGTGTAGTACCAGTGGTTGTTGTTCCAGATGTTGTAGTACCACTGGTTGCTGTCCCAGATGTTGTAGTACCACTGGTTGTTGTAGTTCCAGATGTTGTAGTACCACTGGTTGTTGTAGTTCCAGATGTTGGAGTACCACTGGTTGTTGTTGTTCCAGATCTTGTAGTACCACTGGTTGTTGTAGTTCCGGACGTGGTAGTACCACTGGTTGTTGTTCCAGATGTTGTAGTACCACTGGATGTTGTTCCAGATGTTGTAGTACCACTGGTTGTAGTTGTTCCAGATGTTGTAGTACCACTGGTTGTTGTAGTTCCGGACGTGGTAGTACCACTGGTTGTTGTAGTTCCAGATGTTGTAGTACCACTGGTTGTTGTTTCGGATGGTGTAGTACCACTGGTTGTTGTTCCAGATGTTGTAGTACCACTGGTTGTTGTTGTTCCAGATGTTGTAGTACCACTGGTTGTTGTTTCGGATGGTGTAGTACTAGTGGTTGTTGTTCCAGATGTTGTAGTACCACTGGTTGTCGTTGTTCCAGATGTTGTAGTACCACTGGTTGTTGTAGTTCCAGACGTGGTAGTACCACTGGTTATTGTTCCAGATGTTGTAGTACCACTGGTTGTTGTTCCAGATGTTGTAGTACCACTGGTTGTTGTTGTTCCAGATGTTGTAGTACCACTGGTTGTTGTTGTTCCAGACGTGGTAGTACCACTGGTTGTAGTTCCAGATGTTGTAGTACCACTGGTTGTTGTAGTTCCAGATGTTGTAGTACCACTGGTTGTTGTAGTTCCAGATGTTGTAGTACCACTGGTTGTTGTTCCAGATGTTGTAGTACCACTGGTTGTTGTTCCAGATGTTGTAGTACCACTGGTTGTTGTTCCAGATGTTGTAGTACCACTGGTTTTGTAGTTCCAGATGTTGTAGTACCACTGGTTGTTGTTGTTCCAGATGTTGTAGTACCACTGGTTGTTGTAGTTCCAGACGTTGTAGTACCACTGGTTGATGTAGTTCCGGACGTGGTAGTACCACTGGTTGTTGTTCCGGATGTTGTAGTACCACTGGTTGTTGTTGTTCCAGATGTTGTAGTACCACTTGTTGTTGTAGTTCCTGACGTGGTAGTACCACTGGTTGTTGTTCCAGATGTTGTAGCACCACTGGTTGTTGTTGTTCCAGATGTTGTAGTACCACTTGTTGTTGTAGTTCCAGACGTGGTAGTACCACTGGTTGTTGTTCCGGATGTTGTAGTACCACTGGTTGTTGTTCCAGATGTTGTAGTACCACTGGTTGTAGTTGTTCCAGATGTTGTAGTACCACTGGTTGTTGTTGTTCCAGACGTGGTAGTACCACTGGTTGTTGTCCCAGATGTTGTAGTACCACTGGTTGTTGTTGTTCCAGATGTTGTAGTACCACTGGTTGTTGTTCCAGATGTTGTAGCACCACTGGTTGTTGTTCCTGATGTTGTAGTACCACTGGTTGTTGTTGTTCCAGATGTTGTAGTACCACTGGTTGTTGTTCCAGATGTTGTAGTACCACTGGTTGTTGTAGTTCCAGATGTTGTAGTACCACTGGTTGTTGTAGTTCCAGATCTTGTAGTACCACTGGTTGTTGTTCCTGATGTTGTAGTACCACTGGTTGTTGTTGTTCCGGATGTTGTAGTAGCACTGGTTGTTGTTGTTCCAGACGTGGTAGTACCACTGCTTGTTGTTCCAGATGTTGTAGTACCACTGGTTGTTGTAGTTCCAGATGTTGTAGTACCACTGGTTGTTGTAGTTCCAGATGTTGTAGTACCACTGGTTGTTGTTGTTCCAGCTGTTATAGTACCACTGGTTGTTGTTCCAGATGTTGTAGTACCACTGGTTGTTGTTCCAGATGTTGTAGTACCACTGGTTGTTGTTGTTCCAGATGTTGTAGTACCACTGGTTGTTGTAGTTCCAGATGTTGTAGTACCACTGGTTGTTGTTGTTCCAGACGTGGTAGTACCACTGGTTGTAGTTCCAGATGTTGTAGTACCACTGGTTGTTGTAGTTCCAGATGTTGTAGTACCACTGGTTGTTGTAGTTCCAGACGTGGCAGTACCACTGGTTGTTGTTTCTCCCGACGTGGTAGTACCACTGGTTGTTGTTGTTCCTGATGTTGTGGTACCACTGGTTGTTGTAGTTCCAGATGTTGTAGTACCACTGGTTGTTGTTGTTCCAGATGTTGTAGTACCACTGGTTGTTGTAGTTCCAGACGTTGTAGTACCACTGGTTGTTGTAGTTCCAGATGTTGTAGTACCACTGGTTGTTGTAGTTCCGGACGTTGTGGTACCACTGGTTGTTGTAGTTCCAGATGTTGTAGTAC